AGTGCTCTTTGCCATGCCCTCGTACGCCTCAGTCTGGATATTGGGGATCTCGTGGGTGAAATCGTTAAGGTAGTCTGGTTTCTGCACCACCATGGAGGGCGGGCTCAGATTAATTAATGCTCTCCTGCTGTAGCCCAAATTGCTGGTCTTCTTCTGCAGAACCCCCCACATCTTCTTGCTGCTCAGGGAGGACCTGGTGCCCTTGATGGGCACCATCTTGTGCTTGCGCCGGCGGTGGTGGGACAGGTTGCTGCGGTCGCTGCAGCGGAAGGAGCACAGCTCGCACTTGTAGGGCTTCTCCCCGGTGTGGGACCGCATGTGAGCCTCCAGGTGACGCTCGTAGGCCGAGGCAAAGGGACACAGGTGGCACCTGTGTGGCTTCTCCCCTGGAAAATCAGAACAGGTTAGCCCCCAGCACCTCGGAGCACATGGAACAACAGGCTTTGTGTGCGGCTCACTGGGAGCCGCTGCTGCAGCTTCAGTCACGGCCGGCCTCGAGCTCAGCTGGGTGTCCTGGGACAGCTCTGCCCCACCCAGGGATCACCAGCACACAGAAAAATCCTGAGGGCAATCAGGGTAACGCACCAACCTGCCTGGGAACTGCAGCAACAGCGCCAAGGACTGAGTGCAGTGATGTTTGTGTGGTGCCAGCTCCCCCTCAGCCATGCAGGGCACAGCAATGTCTGTACCACCAAAATGTCACTGCTCTTCAGGAGAACTCTGAGGGAGGGTATCCTTCTGGGACCTTCCAAACACCCCTACTCCTAAACACCCTGCAACTACCACCCTCAATAACCCACACACACAGGCAGCCACTCAAGGACTGAGCTTTGGAAAAGGATCCTGTGGCTAAAGAGTTGGAACAGAAATCAAAAGCCAGGCATTCCCTGGAGAGCTGTGTGCTCTTCCAGAAGGGAGATGGGATGATGATCAGGGAGACCATCATCTCCTTTGCACATACTGAACTTTATTCCTCTATCAAATGAAATTTATAGGTACAAAGTTTTCTGAGGATTTTTTAAAAAGTTAATGTGAGTAACATATAATAACAGGCCAGCCAACACTTTTGTAAGGCAGCACTTTAGGAGTTCTGATTTTCCCTTGGTAGGCTGATCTAGGAGTTACAGATCCAGGTCTGCAATGTCAGAAGTGCCTGAAGGATCTGATGTGTGTTCAGGTGCTGAAATGAAAGATCATCTTACTCTTCCTATCTCGAGTGCCAGCTCAGTTTCTAAATCCCTGTCATGTGACTGATGAGCATTCCAGAGTTTGGAATCACAGTCTGGGATACCATATAGATTTCTTTTATTCCCCCTACATCACTGGCTGTCCAAGAGGAAAGAAATCAATTTTTGTGCTACCTCTAAGTACCTTCTTAGCACCAAGCAAAACCGTGATTTCTCCACGAGCATCTCTCTGCACTCATACACATACACACAAGGATGAGTAAAGATCTGGAGACTTGATAAAATGGTATGAGAAGATTGGCAAACTCTGTGTGAATGCAGAGAGTTTGCCAATCTGATTTCATTCTAAACTGGCTGCACAGAGATAAAAGTTTTGCATCACATGTGGCACAGTACAGCTGGTGAACTACTCATTACCTGCTGTCAGGCTCAGCATGAAGCCAATCCTGCAGTGGGCTGCACTTAATAATAATGATAATAATGATGGTTGCATGATCATGCCTGGTCACAGTTCCTTTGGCAGATGTCCAGGATGCTGTACCTGTTTATTTACACTGCTCTGAGGCTTGAGGCAGCTGCCACTTCCCCACCTTAGTGCTGACTCATCTGAGCCCTCACAGCACAAGCAGCATCTCCTGGCCCCCTGCCAGCCTCTGAGGCAAACAACACTCAGGCCTTGGATCTTCTTCCCTTGAGTGAAAAAACAAACCAAACCAGGAAAACCAAACCAAAAGAACTCTTTTCTTGTTCTGGAAGATACAAGAGAAGAATTTACCAGGTCCTTCAGAATCTGAACCTCAGAACTGATTTCTGCCTGGTTGCCATTTCCTACCCCATTGTGCCCTGTTGAAACAAGCCAACACTGCAGGGCCAGTGAAGGAGCCCCAGCTTTCCCAAAATGCACCCAGGGAGCTCCTGTGTGGAAAGAATGGCTCCCAACAAAGTGAGAATCTGAGGAGATTAACTGTACCTGAGAGAGCTACAATCATATCAACTGGAAACCTATAAAAACTTTCATTCTTTGCAGGACACAATTTTTTCTGCTCTGCTTAACACCCTGAAGTCATCTGTATTGGTGATACACTTGACAGAGTTCACAAGCACCTATTTTTTGTTTTCTGTCATTTGCCATGAAGCTGGAGCTTTCAGAACAGTTCAGGATATTTAAACTTTTATGAGAGTTTTGCTTTTCAGGTTTATACATCCAACAGTGGCAAATGCTCTTTAACAAGCCACAGTTGGTAATTTTTCTGTTCACTCCTGATACCAGACACATGGCATGTCCTCACATTTGAATATTCTACCAATAACTTTATTTTTATTACTATGCTTTGTACTTCCACACCTAGAATGTTGTGCAGAACAGGAATATTTTCATGGCTAAACAACAGAGGAAGAAAAGGCCCTATAAATCTCTGTGTAGGAACATGTACATTTTTAACTTTTCTCAGGACAGAAAAACGAAATATTTTAGGGCCCTTCAATTTACATTGAAGCTTTCATGCTAAACTTTACTCCCATATAGTTACTTATAATAATAAATGTCAGTAGGGATCTGCACAGTTTAAATAGGTACATGGCACTCCTTTATAAAAATAGACTATAAAGAACCACCAATTATTGCTAATTATTGTTATTGTTAAGAATTCTCTTCCAGATGGGATGATGATCAGGGAGACCATCATCTCCTGTGCACATGCAGAACTTTGTTCTTCTATCAAATGAAATTTATAGATACAAAGTTTTCTGAGGATTTTTTAAAAAGTTAATGTGAGTAACATATAATAACAGGCCAGCCAACACTTTTGTAAGGCAGCACTTTAGGAGTTCTGATTTTCCCTTGGTAGGCTGATCTAGGAGTTACAGATCCAGGTCTGCAATGTCAGAAGTGCCTGAAGGATCTGATGTGTGTTCAGGTGCTGAATGAAAGATCATCTTACTCTTCCTATCTCGAGTGCCAGCTCAGTTTCTAAATCCCTGTCATGTGACTGATGAGCAGGATGAATTTGCCAACTGCTGCCATGGAAATCCCAATGCAGAGTAAAGCCCCAAGGGCTCCCAGGCAGGCAGAGAAGATCCCATACCTGTGTGGATCCTGATGTGCTCGATGAGCCGTGCTGTTCCTTTGCTGGCATAGTTACAGTATCGACACTTTAACTTCCCATCAAAAGTCCTTTCAAAGCCATCCACCAACATTCCTGAGTTTTCATCCAGTGAAACTTCAACAGAAGGATGATCCAGGCCATTCTGATCACCTTCTGTCCCAGCTGTGAACAATGCAACACAGATTTTAATGAACAATCTGTGGGATGCCATCTGCCAAAGAGCTTTTGCTTCTCTCAGCCCTTGGTCTTTAAATATAGAGAATTATAAAAAACATGCCCTGATTAAAACAAAGGTAATCAATTTGCCTCCTTTGTCAAATTGATTAATGAGAAGATTCCTTATGGGAATCTTCACACTACATACACATCCTTTGTGACACAAAAATGACTATCAGAAATGCTTCCATGGAGCTGCAGCATTACCTGGATTGTGAACACTGAAGTCACTCTCAAAAATATCAAATTTATGGTACTGGAAAAAACTCACCTCCCTGGAGAGTCTCTACTTCCTTGTCACCAGTAACTGATCCAGAAATCATATTGACATGGTGGGTCTGCTGGGTCAGATATTCCTGAAAATCCTTCACAAAATCCAACGGTTCTGCCTTCTTTTCCCCCATATTGACTCTTTCATTTATAACCTCTCGTGCCTAGAAGGGAAAATGTTTTCAGAACACAAGTGTCATTGAATTTGGCTGCATTCATAGTAACAAGTTCAGGTTTTGGGCTGGATTTTAAGTGAAGAATTACTTTTATCACACAGTTTGAGGGTCGTCGTTTAACAAAGTCCGGTTTTCAGTTGAGGGGGTGGTTCCTTGTGGGGACTGGGTGGAGCCAATGAGCGGCCAAGTTTGAAGAGCCAATCAGCTGGCTAGATTTGAAGATTGACAACTGGTTAACCAATCAGCAGGCTAGTTTGAAGAGTGACACCAGTTTAAACCACTTAGAAGAGCTGAACACGCCTCTATGAGAACACATTTAAGGATGGGCTGTGAGGACTTGTGGCTGATGGCCTCTCAGGTGTGGTGCTGTTCACAGGGGTCCCAGGACAAGGGAAGAGATGAGAATGTTGATTCTATGTTTCAGAAGGCTGATTTATTATTTTATGATATATATTATATTAAAAGAAAATTATATACTAAAACTATACTAAAAGAATAGAAGAAAGGATTTCATCAGAAGGCTGGCAAGGAAAGGAAAGGAATGGAATGATAATAAAATCTTGTGACTGACCAGAGAGTCTGAGCCAGCTGACTGTGATTGGCCTATAATTAGAAACAAGCACATGAGACCAATCCCAGATGCACCCATTGCATTCCACAGCAGCAGATAATCAATGTTTGCATTGTGCTCCTGAGGCCTCTCAGCTTCTCAGGAGGAAAAATCCTGGCAAAGGGATTTCTCAGAAAATATCATGGCTACACTCATGGCCAGGCTGGCTCACTGCTGGGCTGGGATTTCTGCCACCAGCAGGCTGTGCTGCCAGGACTGCCCCTGCACATGAACACACCAATTCTCTCCCGAGTCAGGAAAAGGAAAACGTGAAGACACCTGGAGAAAACAACACAGACACTGAGGGCAGTGAAGGAGGAGTCAAATTCTAGATGGGAGGGGATTGAGGAGATGCCTTATTCTTGGGCTGAAATTCTTTTGTGAGGCTATGGTGAAGATGTATTTTGATCTATCACACTTTGTTTTTTCCCTGTAGCTCATGAAGTGCAGGGGGGGGTGCAGCATTCACCTGCAGCCCCTGAGAGAAGGACACTCAGGCTGGAGTGTGTGGATGCTGAAAAGCTGTAACCCAACAAGAACCTTGAACAGAGAGAGATGAGAAACTTTGCCCCAGAGATAGAAGAAGAAAAACCTCTGCTCCCAGAGATAAAAGTGGAGTACTTTTGTTTTTATGCATCCCTAAAATAGTGCCCCATCAGTTATCATGGCCCATGAAAGCACCTTTGGGGAAGCTGTAACTCATGGGATTTTCACACTGCAAACAGATTTTCCTTTCCTGGCAGCTGATTTGCCACAAGAGAACTGCTTCTTGTGGAGAAGCCTCCATGGCATGGCCAGAGAGACTCCTCTCCCTGGGTGGACTGAAGAAAGATTATTTTAGAGATGGTAAACTGACTGAAAGTTCCAGGTTTTGTCTCTTTAGATTATCTATGGGAAAGAAAAGGTGCTGGGGAAGAAGTGTTCTGAAAGTTTGTTCTGATTTTATAATTTTTTATTTAATTCTGTTAATAAAGTTTTCTTTATACCATTTAAAGTTTTGAGCCTGGTTTGCCCTCCCCCTCCTAATCCATATCTCACAGCAGGAAATGAGTAAATAAATAATTTTTAGTGCATGCATGGGCATTTGGCCAGCATTAGACCCACTACACAGAGTCAAAAAGCAAATCTGCAACCCTAAGAATGTTAATTTTTGAATGTTTAACTCCTTAAAGATCACCAAATACAATTTATGGGGAAATCCCTTTCAGCTACAGGTAAATTATATAATAATAAAATAGTAAATAAGATTTTAAAATAAAAACCACATAGTAATAAAAATCAACCTGCATTTTTAAAAATAAAAGGATCATACCTGAATTTTAGTTCCCTGCTAAGTAGCAAACATGCTCCGAAATGTACCTCAACACGTCAGATAAAAAGCACAGAGCACAGCTTCTCCACTTTTCCTAGAAGGAATAAAAAGAAAATGTGAGTCCATTATTCTTCCCAGTAACTTATGAGTTATAAGAAAGAAACCTGAAAAATATTTGTGTTTGAAAGACAGGAATCTAACACTCTGCTGCTCTAAATTTTATAAAATCAATCACACTTCCAGTCAAAGTTTTTCAAAGACTGCATCCTCTGCTTCCTGGATGTCACCTGAAGGACACTTCTGGCTCACTTCTGTTTTCCAATGAACACCTGGCTCCAAAAAACCCCAGATTTGGGGCAGTCAGTTATGGGAGCTGCAATGTGGGAAAACAACTGAATGCTGGTGATTAGCAAAGCTGGAAAGAAGCCTTTTACAAAGCAATGTTTCACAGTACTCTCAAAATCTGACTTTCCTATCCTGAGTAAAAGTCTTATTCCAGTCCATTATTTTGCACTGAAATCATTAAAATATTCCCCAGAAATCAGTGGTCAGGCTGGTTTTGGGGAGTGTAAATAACCAACCTCTATATAAAGTCTCAATTCACAATGAATTTGGGAAGAGAGAGCTTGGGATACATGTGGAAGGAGAGTGAGTCTGTCACATTATTTCTGCAGATTATAATCAGAAATAATTTACAGTGCTACCATTTCAATAAGAATATTCCTTATTTTTAAAAGGTACTTAGGTTACCTACAGGAACTCAAGTTCTGAGTTTCAGACCACATTTAAATATCTTCTCCTGTGTATCCAAATTACAGATGTTTGCTCATTTTTGGTATCCACATGAGGATGTTCTTTCCCATCTTACCTGGGTGTGCTCAACTCCCAGCATTAATTATCACAATTAAGTTAGTTCAGAACACATCTTTATGTATCTACCTACCTACCCTCTTCCAGGTGTCACAGCCTCCTGTAGGCTTAAGTTAATTTGTGTTCCATTTGTTGGTGTCTCCTGCAATAAAACAAAGAGATCAGGAAATTAATTATAATATTAAAGATATCTCTAATATTGATGATATGAAAAGAAAAACATGACAGTGTAACACAGAGTCCTGACCAGGCCAACTTTCCATGAATTATAATAAGAAATAACAATTTAAAATGAAACCATTCAAAACAACACCAAAGGTTTGTGTTAGCAGAGGAGATCTGTGTGTGCCTTTGGGTAAGGCACTAAAACTTATTTCAGAGAATCACAGAATGGTTTGGGTTGGAGGGGACCTTAAATCCCATCCAGTGCCACCCCTGCCATGGCAGGGACACCTCCCACTGTCCCAGGTGCTCCAGGCTCCATCCAGCCTGGCCTTGGGCACTGCCAGGGATCCAGGGGCAGCCACAGCTGCTCTGGGCACCCTGTGCCAGGGCCTGCCCACCCAATATTCCCATCTAACCCTGCTCTCTCTCAGTTTAAAGCCATTTCCCCTTGCCCTGTCACTCCAAGCTCCTGTAAATAGTCTCTCTCCATCTTTCTTTTGTGTCCTTTCATGTACTGAAAGGCCACAATTAGGTCGCCTCAAAGCCTTCTCCTCTCCAGGCTGAACAACCCCAGTTCTCTCAGCCTTATTTGACTGCACTGATTGCTTTTATAAAACATTTAATTTTGAAAGAAAATGGCATAAAATTTCATAAACAGGTTAAGGATCAACTGCATAAAACTTCCTTTCTCTACCTCATTGATTTATTCTGAGAACACTCATCCTTTTCTTTACACCAGTGTAGGGAAGACACCACACTTTGAACATGACCCAAAGCTCCCATCTGTGTGCTCAAACACTTCTGTCATTTTATGTGGCATCTTTCAGAGCTACACAGCCAGCAGCTCTCCTTCTCAGGGGAGGATGACACACATCTGATCCTTGCTGTGTCACCCCTGCAAAGCAGAAAATGCAATTCTAATTAGCAGAAACTGAGCAGCCCAGCTCGTGTTTCACACACAGGGAGGGGCTGAGCACACCGGGTGTTACCCGAGCTCTGCTGACACACCCGCAGCACCAGCAGGGCACTGGTTACTCATCTTCTACCCAGGCACAGCTGCTGGGCTCAGCAGGGGTCACTGAGGTGAGCTAATCTTGCTGTCAAAGAACAGCCAGGATGAAACATTCTCCCTAAATAATGCTGCTGAAGAAAGCAGTTCATGGTGCACAGCCAGCTGTTTCATACACACAGTCAGAAGTAATCCTGCAGTAATTGTAAGAGCATAAAGTATCCATGAGAGCATGTATACAGTATAAAATCAATTTACTGTGAGCATATGTATCCCACCTTCTAATAAGGAACACCGGGGAAAACGGGGAGTGTTCTCTGTTCCATCTCTTCCACAGCTAATAAATAAAAATAGAAAGGATTCCAAATTCCATCCAAGCCCTTCCCGGTCCTCCTGAAGGAGTTTGACCACGGGGAGGGAGTGAATCACAGCTCGGTGGCCACCGTGACCTGTCACCAACCCCGAACACCTCCTCGATCCCGCTCCTCCTCCTCCGCCCCATGCCAGAGTGGGGAGGGACACGGGCACGGGAAACCTCCCAGAAACCCGCGTGTCCCGCTCCGGGCTCCGTGGGACAAGAGGGACGGAGCTCTGGAGAGCATCCAGGGAAGGGCAGCGAAGACGCTGAAGGCACTGGGGCATCTCCGTGCCCGGGAAAGCCTTAGGGACCCAGGGATGCTCAGCCTGGAGAGGAGCCCCAGCTGGGAGGGCGCTCAGCCCTGGCTGTCCCCAGGTGTCCCCTGGCTGTCCCAGCAAGGCCCAGGCTCTGCTCCAGGGACCAGCAGTGACACCAGAGCCACGGGCAGGGACTGATGCACACCAAGTTCCACCTCAACGAGGAAAAACTTCTTTACTATGAAGTGACAGCGCTGAACAGGCTGCCCGAAGAGGGTGCGGAGTCTCCCCCAGTGCCGACACCCCAGAACCTGCGCGAGTGCCGGGGGATGGCCCCGCCTGAGCAGGGAGGTGGCCCCGGATCGATTCCTTCCAACCTCACCCACCCTGTGATTCTGCGATTACAGTGACCCTGCGATTTCAGTAACTCTGTGATTTCTGCCACTCTGTAATTTCTGCGATCTCTCTGATTCCCGTGTCCCTCAGCCCCGCACCAAGGCAGCAGCCTCAAGGCTGC